TGCTTCCACTCACGATGGAAGGTAAAGAGGAGACAGCATTTGCAGAAGTTACATGGTGAGAGAGGAAGCAAGAGAGAGGGAGATGGAGGTGCTGTTTTTAACAACATGCTCTCACAAGAACTAATAGAATGAGAACTTACTTCCTCAGAAAGGGCATTAATCTATTCATAAGGGATCTGCCACCATGACCCAGAAAACCTCCCACTAAGTCCCAACTACACTGGAAATCAAATTTCAAGATGAGATTTGAAAGGGTAATACAAACCAAACTATAGTAGCTTCTTAAGAATTTTGCTGATTTTAATCTATTAGCTATTAATGTATGTATTTCTCATGTATTGAGTTAGTCTATTCACTAGAAAATATAATGCTAAATTTAATTATATGCCCCATATGTTCAAAATCAATAAAACCTTGTACCTAAAGTAGAAATATGTTGGTTCTTTCTTTTAATGAAATGTGGTCAAATAATATGAGATCAAAATAGTTAAGGGTACTAAATACAGAATTGAGGATTCAAATCTCTGTTACTAATGCTGATTCACAGAAAGATGTGAGAAAAGTTTTCCCCTGATCTGTTGTGAGTAATTATAGTAATGAGGCACCTTGAAAATGTAAGCTGTTAATTAATAAGGCTACGTCTAATTGTATCTTCTTTAAACCAGTGTCTGGTATTTTGAACAATAATCAGATACCAATATCCTTCACATATTCAGAGTTTTAACCACCATCTCTTCATAACTTACTCTTAATCCAGTCTGTCTAGCTTTCTCTATATTTAGTCAATCAAGTATCTTCTATTTCTTGGAATAATTACTTTATTCTAATGTTTTTCCTCTTGGGGAAGTTGTAGTTTATGTTCTTCTCCAAGTCAGTTTAATTTACATCACTGTCTTTTACTTACCACATGTAATCTTTGTTTCCAAAAATGAGACATCTTAGTTATTCTTTGAATCTGTCTACGCTTATTTTCAAACTTTTTTCAACATAATAACTTTAATATTTTAGTCACAGACATAACAGAGTCCCATTCTCTGCATAAAATGAAGAAAGTTTTGATAGTGACTTTGGAGCAATTACCATACTCAAATGTTAAATGGGTACTAATTTAAGGCCAGATGATATGCCAATTAATGTTAAAATTAATCAAGCACTTGGGATGAATGAATAATGGAATGAGCATGGCTGGAAACAGAATTGATTATATAGAATATAAAGTTAACAAAATCTGCCGTAATTCAGAATAAAATTTAGAGATGCAAAATATAAAAGTAAGTATAACAAATCTTCAAATAATCTCTATAGAAGACAAAATAATTATAAAAGTTAATAGGACACATTTTCCCCCAAAAGTAGAAAGTTCAGGTTTTGGGAGACCTTGAGGGCAAACTGAATACTAAGACAAATCATGAAAAAGACTAGTGTAGAACACCAACATGGCACAAGTACACATATGTAACAAACCTGCACGTTATGCACATGTACCCTAGAACTTAAAGTATAATAATAATAAATAAATAAAAGAAATCATTCTATTTTAATTTCAAAATTCCAAAGGAACGGAATAATTCTTAAAAGCTCCTGGAGACATGGAGGTCATTTGTTTACAACAGGAAGAGAATAATTATCTTAGCAACTCTGAATCCTAGAAAGCAACGCAACCAGGACTTAAAAGTTATAGCAAAAATAATTGTCAACTTGTAAAATTCTCCAGTATACTTCAAAATGTCTATTACATATCGTATCCAAATTTACATTTTGAACATGTATAAATCCAGACCATTACACATAATACCCTATATGAAAAAGTATCCAGCAGGTACTTAGGATAAAAAAGGAGAGAGTATGAATTGATACACCACCAGGGCAATGGCTAAATATGACCAGGAGAATGTTTAAAAAAATTAACCGGGCGTGGTGGCGGGCTCCTGTAATCCCAGCTACTCCGGAGGTTGAGGCAGGAGAATCGCTTGAACCCGGGAGGCAGAGGTTGCAATGAGCCAAGATCACGCCGTTGCACTCCAGCCTAGGCTACGAGTGTGAAACTCTGTCTCAAGAAAAAAAAAAAAAAAAGAAAAAGAAAAAGGAGTTGGGAACGGTATAGAAGATTTTGAAAGCTATAGTTTTCATTTTCATTGTTGACAAAGGAAGAATTAAAGGTGTATTTTATTTAATTTTACATCCCTAGCCACTAGTATAACTGAGAAATCTACTAAGGTTAACCCTTGGTTTCTGGGGACAGGAGGCATTGAGATATTTTTACTTTTCCATCCTTCTGTATTACTTGAGATTTATTTTACTGTGTTGAGTGCAATGTTTTATAATGATAATGATAAAAATACCTAGTTTTAGAAAGAAAAGTTCCCATGTCTTTGACATTGGGTTAAAGAAAACATAGCAAACAGCGAACAATTTTAACAGTGCCATCTTTTTCAAATCTTGTAGATGTTTTAGATGTTGGAGTTTAATGCTCTGTGGTTACAGTCTTTTTTTTTTTTTTGAGGTAGAGTCTCACTCTGTCACCCAGGCTGGAGTGCAATGGCACAATCTTGGCTCACTGCAAGCAATTCTCTGCCTCAGCCTCCCGAGTAGTTAGGATTACAGGGCACCCGCCATCACGCCCAGCTATTTTTTGTATTTTTTGTTTGTTTGTTTGTTTTTTTATCCAGAGACAGGGTTTCACCATGTTGGCCAGGCTGGTCTCGAACTCTTGACCTCAGGTGATCCACCTGCCTTGGCCTCCCAAAGTGCTGGGATTACAGGTGTGAGTCACCGCTACTTGTCCATGTTGTTACAGTCTTGAAGTTCTTAATAATTGTATTTTTGACTCTGTGTTTTAAAAGTGAAGTTCAACGAAACAATATAATGTGACCTGGGGGTTTGGCGTCTTGGAGCCTCAAAAGGGCTGCTGCACTTTGGATTGTGCGGGCGGAGATGTCTGCATCTGCCCATGCCTTCTGCCTGTAGGGGGCACTTGGGTGTTGGCCCAGGGAAAATCAGGATTAGGCAAGTGCCTCGTGGTGTTTCAGAGGAGAATAAGACTGTGGCTATCTTCTCCGAAGGCTGTACTCATTCAAATACTAAGGGCATCCCAGCAGGGAAGTTGCAGTCTGTTGTACTACACCAATCTGATGTGGGATGGAGTCACAGGCCCTTGGGAAGAAATGATTGACTTCTCTGTTCCCAGTCAGGACCACAAATTTTCATTTTGCACTAGGCCCTGCAAATTATGTAGTCAACCCCAAGAGGCAACTTCATGGAGAACAACGGCAAGATGTCATTGGGCACTAGCCTGCCATTTCTACTGGGGTCATGATTTTGACTCCTTTTGCCAGGAGATGATGTAGTGTCAGGAATTCTTGTCCACGTTCATGTTAGTACTTCTGACACACCATAGCCAGTTTCTAAATTTCTTGCCTCTTTCTCATTCCCAGCAGTATTTCCTCTCAGAATAGGGACCATACAGCCAGAAACTTCATAAAACATCTCACTTACCTTTGTTGCCAGTCCTAATCCAAATCATGCAGTGGATTCTTTCCTACCTAACTCATCTCTTTTGATAATTTTATTTCCATGTATTTGACTTCTGCTGTAGGAGGCCCTCATTCATACTTTTTCTCACAGTTCCACTACTTTATTTTTCATACTTGCAAAGTCTTTTTTCCTCATCCCTAATGCAGTGGTATGATTTAATCTTATCTCCTACAAGATCCAAAACTCGGTGGAATTTTGCATTTTTACTAGTATTTTTTTCTTTCCTAAGCCATTTTCCATTTTGGAAATGGCATTTTTCAATATATCCTTATTTGTTTTTTGAGATTGTGTTGAATGCTTTGTCTAAATAGAAATATGGATCTTCCAAAATTTGGTAGTTCTTTTGTGCTTTAATAAAGCTTATTCCTGCAGGTCTTTGTTTAGGTTTCATTTGAAATAATTTCTGAGTACCTACCTTCTATAAGGCACTGGGGGCTAACAACCTACTCATGAAACTTCTTAGAGTTTTTCAACAGGGATGCTTGTATTTGTTTGAAATATAGAGAAAAAACATATTTGTTTCTAAACTATGTGGTGGACTGAATTGTGCCCCTCTCATTCACGTGTTTGAAACCTGACAACCAATGTGATGTTATTTGGAAATGAGGCTTTTAGGAAGTAATTAAAATTAGATTAGGTCAAAAGGATGGTGGGGACCTCCATGATGGAATTAATGTACTTTTCAGTCACCCAGTCTGTGGCATTCTGTTATGGCAGCCCAACCTCACTAAGACAAACTAAAAGTAATTTCAATCTAGTTTGTTTTTGATTTCGATATTTAGTTGACTATTAAGCATATTTCTTATAAAATTCATATTAGTGATTCAAGTATTACCTCTAGTGTTTTTTTTTTCATCCTTTCTCACGTAGTCACTAGAATGACACAGATTTTCTACTCTAGACAACTATAATAGCAAATAAGAGAAGAAAGAAGGAAGGTAAAGTGGGAAGAAGAAAGTATGTTAGAAATATTCGCCAGATCACTTTGGTCTTCTAAGTTTGGAAAACATCAACAAACTTTAAAGAGTGTCTTGCCTTCACATTCCTTGATAAAAATTAGTTGAGGGTTCAGGCAATGCTATAAATATATTCTTGGGAAAGGCAGAAAGGAAGACATAAAAATGTAATAGTTACTGTGTCTTCCAAGTACCAGGCATTGTCCTAAATGCTTTACATATGCTACTTTGTTTTGTCTTCACAATCTCTCTGGGAAGCAAGTATTATTATCCCATTTATATAAATGGAATTGAGGCTTAAAATGTTAATTTTCTATAGCCTGACAATTTAAGGGTGTTAGAATTCAGCTAATATATGTCTGTCCGATTTTGTGACACTCTACTAAACCACTCTGAGAATTCTATTCTTTCTTATTTATATTTGCTTTGTTTTCCTTATAAACTCAGTGGACTAATACTCAACTTTAATTTTAACAAGAAAGCCTGCTGCCTGACCTGTAAGAACCTTACCTTTTCTCTTAGGAGTCATCTTAATTTAAAGAGCTGCCAGTCTATGAAGGGTCAGTAATCTCTTTCCTGTTGAATTATCATGCCTCATCCAGTTTGTTTTATGGCTTCAGATTGGAGTCAAAGTCCTCTTTTGTTATTCATTGTTTTGATTCAATAAGGACAGAGTTGGTTAATATTTTACTGGGAAGATTCCCAGTGGTCACATTCTGGCATGCGAAAAAAATTGGATTTATTTATCAATATATAACCAGCTGTGTGGGAGATGTCTTCCTTTAAACCCCCCTTTTTTTTCTTGTTAGGTAGTTTATTTGGGAGCAAGGCAAATAATGGGTAAGGAGACACATTTTGGGTTTTTGGTCTTTCGAAGAGAAGAGTCATTCTGGGAACACTTTCCTAATCCTGCCTCTCATAACCCCAGTGTTTAAACTCCTAATTTAGAAAATCATGGATAAAAGCTAAGCCAAAATCAACGTGAGGGAAAGAAAATTGTGATCCACATCAACTTCTACGACAGCTATTCTTTGTAGCAGTCCACTGACCTCTTAAATTAATAAACAACATGGCCCTGGACGTCAGGTAGACTCAGCAGTAGCAAGATGAGATTAATAATAACCTAACATCACCAGCTACAACTGTACAGACAGTGCTTGGGCATGCTACTTGAAAGGCCTATTCAGAAATTATGTTTCTAGACTTTTTTTTTTGATACTCCTGGCAGCTGTCTGTCCTAGGGCTATTTGTTTCCATTCATTTTCTTCTCTTAGTTTTGAAATTTTATTCAAAACTTTTGTATAATATATAGAAAACATTAATCCTATATATGAACTGTATCAAAAGCAAGAAAATAGTAATCATCAGGTCCCTGGCTATTCTTTTGTATTTAGACAACATGCTGCATCAGAAAGAGTGCCATTTTCGGAATTCAACCATACCGTTTAATAATATTAGAATAATTTTAATGATACCTGGACATTTTCACTGTTTCCTGTGGCTTCATTGGATTGCTTCCATATGAGTTTATTGGGGCTGTCTTTACAATGTAGCATAGACTGGGTGGCTTAATGTTCTCACAATTCTGGAGGCATAAAGTCCCAGACCATACTTCATGTGTCAGCAGGGTTGGTTTTTTCTGTGGGCCTCTTTCAGCTTTTAGATGACCATCTTCTCCCTGTGTCTTCATATGGTCTTCCCTCTGTGTGCCAATTTCTTCTTCTTGTAGGACACCATCGTATTATATTAAGGGTAGTTGTATTAGTCTGTTCTCACACTGCTAATAAAGACATACCTAAGACTGGGTAATTTATCAAAGAAAGAGGTTTAATTGACTCACAGTTCCACAGGGCTGGGGAGGCCTCACAATGATGGTGAAAGTCAAATGAGGAGCAAAGTCACATCTTATATAGTGTCAGGCAAGAGAATGTGTGCAGGAGAACTCCCCTTCATAAAACCATCAGATGTCTTGAGACTTACTATCACGAGAAAAGCACAGGAAAGAGCCACCCCCATTCAGCTACCTGATTCAGTTACCTCCCACTGGGTGCCTCCCACAACACATAGGAATTACGGAAGCTAAAATTCAAGATGAGATTTGGGTGGGGACACAGCCAAGCTATATCAGTAGTCTACCCTTAATATAATAAGACTAGTGACCTCATTTTACCTTAATGACCTCTTTAAAGACTGTATCTCCAAATACAGCCACATTCTGAGTTACTGGGGGTTAGGATTTCAACATATGACTACTAGGGGGAGCACTTGTGAATTCATCCCATAACACCCCCTAAAGTCTATTCAGAAGCCAGCAACCAGAGTGAGCCTTGCTAAATACAAGTTAGATTGGGCCTCTTCTCAGCTTACACTGTCTTCTTGCGCAGTCCTATCCAGTGTCTTCCGCAGTGCCTGGAACAGATGAAACAATTCCTATTTCTTGAAATGAATGTACATTTGTTAGTGTGCTTTTAAAATTTTAAATTGGTGCAAAACATATTTCATAACATGTAACTATGTTCATCTTTGCTATATCATGCATATAATAACAGTTTGGTTTTCCAAACTCTTGGTTTACATCAACGCAGATGTATTTTGTATGTTTATTGCATCTTGAAGAGAATTCAAAAGGCACAGAAAGGTCAAAGAATTCACAACTGTGTCCGTGTGTCCTGCACAAGTGAGTTATCCTACATATTGTGGGCAGCATACTTCTCAAAACCACACGTAATTGGTGCAGAATTCAATTTGAAATACCCATAAAAAGTGGAGCAGGCTTTCTATTTGATGTAATTCTCTTGATATCAGAGGAAATGTGCATCAAACTTTATATTCAAAAAATATAACTTAGTGCTTTTAACAGCAGGCTTGGTAATTAGTTGGGCAATTAAGGGACTGTAAATTATAATTTTAACTCCAATAGACATCCTCTCTAACACCTTGGGAAGTCCATTTACCATTACTTCCTCTATTTTCCCATCTATAAAATCAGTCTAAAAATAGATTCTCCATAAACTTGCTGAAGAACTAAAGACAGATAGGTTTAGAAATGGAAGAGATTCTGCAAGGTTATCTGGTTAAGTCCTCTTTCAGGCACAGTTATTTCATAAGGATAGAAAGTTGCCATCTCATTTTATTCATGAACATTTTTAAATGCTTAATGTATTTTAATGTTATTTTTGTAGAATTTTACATGAAAAAGATTACAAGGTGATTTACTTGTATTATAAGTATGCATTGTATGGGAAGACAAAAGAGTAGCTCTTGTCTGTTGCAGAGGTGAATGTATTTATTAGCCATAGCCTGGTTGGGTCTTAATTTCCAAGGTCAATCATTAACATATGTAAAGTAAGGTAATCCACTTCCATTAAAGCCATTAGGACCAATAGGTCCTGACTCAGGAATCTGTCTGTCACCTGGCCTACATTCCACAGATCTCATTCTAGGTTTGGTGCTGAATTTTAACATTTTCTTTTCTTTCTGAAATCATATTCTCTTAAAAGTGCTGGCTCGTATTTCTTTTTCCTATTTTGTTGCCTCTTTCTCTCTCTCTCTCTTTAATACATACCTTGTTACTAACAAAACCATCAATCAAACCCTTTATACATTTTTACAGTTCTGCATTTCTGTTATCCCAAAGGGATTTTATTCCTTCAATATTTACTGCTAGGCCACATTTATCTTATCTGTTGGGGGAAAAAATCATATATCCTTTTTTTTGTATATACTGTTTCTACTGCAGTCTTCCCTAGGGACACTGATAGTGCTGAAGTTCATAATACTTGAGTGGTAGCACATTTTAGAGTGGTGTCACCTGGGTGGCATAAAGGAGTGTTTCCCAATGTGGGCAGGAGGTAGGAGGAGGGTAGGAGGAGGAAGGCTGCCAATATCACTGCCCCGGAATCTTATTTGCTAAAGAAAGAATTATTCTGACACTTCTGAAAATGGTAAGGAAGACTTTATTCAGGACTACTGTGATGAGTGTCAAGACCATTGCAATAGAGTAGAAAGAGTACAGGCTCAACTCTGAAGACAACAAGATCAAATAGGAATTTATAGTCAAGGAGCAGGTTGTTGGGGTGGAAGGGGTGGTGGGGGCAATAATCAGTGGATGGAAAATGAACAAGAGGAGATATCAGAGGTAGCAAGAATTGGGGGAATTCTCTCTAAACTGACCTAATAGGATTCTTGCTGAAGGCAGGCCAGGGTGACCAGATATGAGGGATGGATGGGAGTCGGGAGATGTAGAATTTGAATGAGGGAAATTGGATATGAAGTGTGGGGGGTTCTCTCTAGCAGGCTTAACGGGTTTCTTGTTAAAAGTTTGCTACTGTGTTATGTAGGCCTAGCAAGGATGAAGGGATGGGCTGCAGGGGTTGGGGTGGGGCAGGGATCAAAGCTGAGACCTACTTGAGAAGAGTGCTCAGAGAAACCTGACTAAAGTTTGGTCAAGGAAATAGTCTTTGTCAAAATGTCATGGGGAGCTTTGGTTTGGATGAGAAGTGTGGGAAAGTGGGCCTGTCCTGGGTATTGACCACTGCAATCTAGGTGATTTTGATGTTGATCAATGCCCTGGTTTGTAAAAAGACAAACAAAATAACTAACCTAAAATGTCTTCTTTAATTCTCTGATCATCTCAGCTGTTTTCAACTGTGGAAATAGCTCTAATTCATTGGTTTCCAACACTGACTACATATTGAAAACATCTGGAGACCTTTTTACAAACTACACATACCTGGGTACCCCTCCTTACCCTAGAATTATTGTGAATGCACTTTAGGGATCAGTGTTTTCTTAAAGCTCCCTAGGTATTGGGATGAGCAACCAGGGTTGAGGACCATGCTTCTGATTGAATGCTCCAAAGTTAAAACAAATTAATTATAAATGTCCCTTCCCTCTCTCAGAAAAGAAAGTCATTTCTATACTTACATTTGGCAAATGCTTAAAGTTTTTTACTCTTGGCTAAGCCAACAAACTTCACTTAAATTTTTCTCACTGGAAATATTTTCCACATTTTTGCTATTTATGTAGGGACCAACGCAGGCTGCCTCACATCCTTTTTAATCTGGATACCCTATATCAACAAAGGTCTGACTTATTTCTGATACAGGAAGAATAAATATTTCCTGGTCTTTGCATGACTTCTTCAAATAAACGAGTTGCTCGAGTTCAAATGACTATTTCTAAATCATCCTTGTATCAGATTTCCTTTTTTTCTAAAGAAATTGTATGAGTAAGGGGAAAGTGAAGCATTCAGCAGATAAGGACTTGTGTAATCTGCCATTGTTTGTTGGGTGAGACAGAAACTAGTCTAGTGAATTCGTACCATGGAAAATTACTTAGTCTGCTCTGAAGAAGCCGTCAAGCCTGGCTGGGAGCTACCAATGCAGTTCTTTGCTCATAAAAACAATTGTGAGAGCTATCCTTTTATTCTTGTTGTAAATACTTAACACTGCTAGTAAGCCACCTTCTCAGGGAATTTTATGGCTTTTCTCAGATCCTTTCCTCTTCCCTTTTCATTGTAAACCATCCTGAAACAAATTATTATTAATAAATTATATTTCTATAACACCT